ATCAGTACATGTGGCAGCTGGCAGAAGAGGCACATCCGGTCGATTGGCTGAATCCCTTGCGGACGTCACGCTAAAACATCTTTGACTAATATGGCATTAAAAATATGCAAAATGGCTTCTGTCTTAGCAGGAAACGCAGCCTGGAACGTACCGGGTGAGCCGATGCGATCATGCGTTTTTGCACAGTTTCTTGCGGATTTTTATTGCTACTGTACTATCTGGCCGCGGTGTTTTGCAAAGCTCTGTATATTGTAATATACAATCTAGACAGCGGAGCGTTCTTTCCGGAGAAATTTGAAATGGGGTTAAAGTAAGCAGTGCATCTGTCGTCTCAGTTCAACTCACAATGGATCATTTGGATGCGGCTGCGGAGACGTGGTGAATGTGCCAGTTATGTAGAGCCCAGAGAATGACGCAAATTTGGACAGCACTACGTACAGCAAAGCCCAAGTTCTAAGTTTAGATTAATTTTAAAAGAAAATCAGTGCGCGTAAGAGGTTTTTGAGCTTGATGCATACTAATTGTATGTGCGATAAATTCTCGGCATTCAAAATACCGGGAATATCCCGACTTATTCCTCATATGCAGAGCATGCACGCAACGACTGATGGATGATGATGCATGCATCCATGGGGCGGCAGCTGCGTGGCAGCTGAATTTGAAATCTTTAGCTCGCACTTTCACAGAAAATATCCCTACAAAGTTTCAGCTTTATACCTTGCCTGGTTCGCCAAATCGCTTCGTGCCAAAGAAATTTGCACATTTTTTTTCGGAAGGGTCCGTATGCCGGGCCCAGGCGCGTATGGAAGATTTTAAAACGGGAGGAAAATACACGCAGTAGGAACGCATACTCGAAGCCCCAGCCTCCCAGCTTTCCTGGTTGCTGAGATGAAAGTGGGTGACAAAATGCACTCGCTTCCGAACACACAAACAGCCTCTCGACAATATACGTTTTTGCTGGCTATAGCAGCGCTACGCAGCAAAAACGCATATTGTGATGACCACCCCGTGTGCGTGCGTGCGTGTGTGTGTGTGTCTGCTCGGGTATTTCAACTCCTCAGCCAAACAAGCTCCGGCGCTAAAATTTCGCGAGTGGGTTTCCCGGTCAAGTAACACCCACTTCCGCGTCAACTTCCACTCACGTCTGAACCTCATGTATGAGCACGTGAAAGGTTTGACAGGAAAATCGCTAACTCGGGGACT